ACATGAATTGATGTGCAAATACACATACAGAGGGCTTTTTTGCATATATGGGCTCATACTGTACTTACTGTCCTACAACTTCTTTTTTCTACATTATGATATGTCTTGGAGGTATTCACTTCAGTACATTTAGACCTACCACATTCTTCTGAATGGCTGCAGAATATTCCAGAATATTCATGTTCCATAATTTTGTCAATATTTTCCTATTCTCAGACATATAGGTTTTTTCCTAGTTTTTCAGTATTATAAACAATGCTGTAATGAATTTCCTTGTCCATGGATCCTCGTGCAAACGTGTGAGTTTCTGGAGAACAGATTGCGAGAGGAGGTTGCAGGGTTACGGGAGGTGGGCCATTTAACGTTTTGGGGACTGTGGCCTTTCTAGCATCTCAGTTCAAGCCTTGAATATGGCACCACCTGCTATTCAAGAGGATAACTTGAGTTTTTAGTGTGAAACGGCTGGGCAAAGTTGCCACTTCCGTCTCTTCTTGTGCACATTGTAATCCAGGGAACGTTCAATTATCTGCAATCAAAGTAATCAGGACCTCAATTAATCAGGCCACCTTAAGGATAAAGAGGAAAGAGATAAGATATCAGAGGTTTAGTGAGGGAGGGGGGAAGAAAATTCCAGAGATTGTCCTGGGGTCAGTGTACATTCAGTCCAATGTCCTATACTTTCTACCTCTACATATTTAGTCCCGAATAATGAGGACTGATATTCACAATAAGGACCTTGACATCTTATAAAATACATCAAAGCAAGAGTGAATGGTGCTTGCTAGACAGGATTTCCTAAGGCAGGAACTATATATACAAATGCATTTTTGAAGCTTTCTCAACTACAAGCCTTAAGACAAAAAGTTTGCTGCTTAAATCTTGGTTAGCGAGAAAAGCACATTAACCAGATCCCATGTCCTCTGTCGCCAAACCTTCCAGTTAATTTAGGCGTATTGGACACTGGGTGAAAATATACAGAAGAAATAAGGATTCTAGAAGTCATCCGCGACCTTCACCAAATCCCGATCAATGACTATTTCTCTGTAATTCTTCTTAACTTCAACCTTGGCCTCTGGCGATAGAAAACCATTGGGCCATCTCTTATTTTTGTGATCGTTTCTCCCTCTTGGAAGAATCCTCTTTGTCTTCCCATCCCTTACTTGTGGGCATTTCCTATATTCAATCTAGCTCTTTTCTCCGTGTACTTTCTCTTGGAGAACACATCCAGCTTCATACTCCTCACTCCTAAATTTATATCCCAGTCCTGAATTCTCCTTGAGCCTACAATCCCATATTGCTAAGTACTTATTGGATTTCTTATCCTGGATATCTCACCATAAAATCAAAACTAGCTTATTCAGAAGAGAAAGACAAACACCTATTATGGGCAAAGACATGAAAAGGAAGCTTACATATATGTATGAATATACACAGTACACATATATAGTTGAGCAATAAAAAATGTTCATTGGGGTCAGCCTGGTGGCATAGTGGTTAAGTTTGCATGTTCTGCTTTGGTGGCCCAGGGTTCGTGGGTTCGGATCACAGGCGTGGACCTATACACTGCTCATCAAGCCATGCTGTGGCAGGCATCCCACACATAAAATAGAGGAAGATGGGCACAGATGTTAGCTCAGGGCCAGTCTTCCTCAGCAAAAAGAGGAGGATTGGTGGCAGATGTTAGCTCAGGGCTAATCTTCCTCAAAAAAGAAAAAGTTCACCTTTACCAATAAAATGCAGATTTAGTAACACGATGCTATTTTTCAAAGATTCAATTCACAATGGTTAAAAAGCCTCAGAAACTCAGTGGTGCTCTGAGAATGGGTAAACAGACACTATCGCATATTGGTGGTGGAAACAGACATTTGTACTACTCTCTGTTGAGTGATTTCTCAATGTATATCAAAGTCTTTCGAATGTGTGTGCCTTTGGACCTGGTGGGCTTCAATTCTAAGAACTTAACTTAAGGAAATAATCAAAACACACACAAACCTGCAAGAATAAGAATTAATTGTTTGAAAACTTGGAAACATGCTAAATGTCTAGCAGTGGAAGATTGATTAAGAAAACATGGTAAATTCCTACAATGGAATGCTATGAGGCCAATAAAAATAATGTTTTAGAAGTATACTTAATTACTTAAGAAAATATCCTTATTATATTAAACATCAGGTTATAGAGCCAGGTTATGAAAAGGAATATACAGGATTATCCCTATTTTGTTATTAAAAAAAGGTATACAGACTGGAGGGAAATACGTAAATATTAACAGTGATTATCTCTAATATTTTTTATTTTCTCCTTTATAATTTTCCATATTTTCTAAAATTCCTACAGTGAACATTGATTACTTTTGTAAAATAAAAAGCCTGATAAATGTAATTTCTTTTAGTAATAGCTATTTAAAACCAGACCCCTCGACTTGCCAACTAAACAAGTTCCCTTTCCTGGCTTCCCTCTTTCTGTCCCTGGTGCCATCAGTCCAAGTCCCCAGGCTTAGACCTTGCAGCCTTAGACCTTTGATTGCTCCCCCACTCCCTCCGCCCAGTCACTCATTGAGTCTCGTCCCTTCTTTAGGAAGGCTCTCCAATTTGTTCCTCTCTCCTGAGTCCCAAGGCCGATCAGTTCACTTCAACCAGCATTTATTGTCACAGTACCTGGATGTCACTCTGCCAGTTCAACATTGTTGGAGTCATCTCCTAATATGTCTTCCTGCCCCTACTCTCTCCTCCAATCAAGTAAGCACCCTGCTTGTCTCATGGCCCTCCTTGCTGAAAACACTCAAAATCCCCTCAAAACCCATTGCCTAGGCAATAAAGCCCATACTCTTTCTTCTGCTATTTAGGGCTCTTTACAGCACTGTGCTAGGTGGGAGATAACAGTGTGCATATGGGAAATACTTGGTAAGCCTTTGACAATGAAGTAAATCTTCAAGAATAAAGTGTGGCCTTCTCCCCACTGCCCTCCACTGTCTTCAGTTTGAAAATTTCCCTTCTTCTCCTCTTGGCACTTGGACCAGAGGCTTTGGAGCACTTCAAGTTTCATGGTGCTGAATTTGGAGACAGGAAGAGGCAGCCACGGGTGATAAAATATGGCTCAGGAAACCTCAACTCTGTGTCCCTCCCAATTTCCGACGCCTGATACGTAGGAGGCTCCACTGAGAAAGCATATTGACTCTTAAATCTCCCCTGCAGTGTTGAGGACCAAGAATGAACAGTCGGACACATAATCTTTCTTTATTTGCTTTAATAAAAAGAAGGAGAAAGAGGGAAGGGGAAGCAGAAAGGAGTGACTATAGAACAAGCCCTGAGCGATGTGGGCCGCTCATGAAACCAAGCTGTCTTCAGATGTCCCTCTGGGGCTCAGAATACGCCCCCCCCAGACTGAAGGATAGCATATGGTTGTGTGTCAAGAATACTCCACTGGGAGTGTGTGGGGTGAGATGTGTGAGGGTAATGAACTTGCCAGATGGCAGTCACTGGCACTAGCCTAGCCCTGTCACTCCCTCTTGGAGGATCTGATGACACCAATGGGAGTGGGATCCCCAAGCTGGGTGAAGCAGCTATCTGGGAACCAGTTCTGACAATGTCAGCTGCTGAGAGGCTCCCCCACCAACCCAGCCCGTCCCTCTCAGTGTGAAAGTATACCCTTATTATGGACCTAGTTGAAAAGTAGATCCAGTCCAGCCTAAGAGCTGCCTGCCAGTACAGCCTGGGATTCCAGCGCAGGCCTCCTGACATGCCCTTCCTGGATTGCTCTCGGCACCCTTCTGGTTACAGAAATCTTGGTGTAGCTCCATCCAACAGAAACTCAGGCTCCTTACATAGCCCACCCCTCTTGTCTAGCTCGGCTGTCTCCAGCTTCCCTTCTCCTCCCTTCTCCCCTCCCCTGTGGCCATTGGCAGTTAGCACATTTCTTGAGTACATGCAAGTCCCCTTGGGTTTCCCCCTTGGCTCCTTGGAAGCCCGCCTCAGTTTGAGGTTCTCCCTATTTTGTAAAACCATTAAGAATAAGAAGCTTTGGAACTTGCACCCGAAGGAAGAGTCCTCTGCTTTCCAGAGCTGTGAATGGCTTGGCTGACCCTGAGGGAGACAAGGGAACCAGAGGAAGCGTGGAGGCAGCTCTCTAGCTGGAAGGAGCCACAAGTGTTCCATGGTGTCACGTGCTATTTTGGGGGTCTGCGTGGAAGGGTAACCTCACAGTGCAATAAGAACAGCGGCTGCTGTTTGTGGCGTGCTTACCACATGCTAGGCACTGTGCTCAGTGCTTGAGCGGCATTATCCAGTCTAATCCTCACACCGGTACTATGAGGTAGTAAGCAGCTTCCGATTTTACAGATGGGGACATTTTGAGAAGTTTAATAAATTGTCCGAGGTCAGAAGGTAGAGGAGGTGGGGCCCTCAGACCTGCTTGATTTCAAGGCCTATTCTCTTAACCTCTGTGCTGTGCCACCTTTGTAGGTCCCCACAATGTCCTAGAGAGAGGAGTAATTGCTTTTCAAAGTTCCTGAACACTTATGCATGCACCAGGCATTGTGCTAAGCTCCTTACATGTGTTATTTCTTTTGAGTCTTCCAAGCACCTCTAAGATGGGTAATATTATCTCATATGATAGAGTGGAAGGAAACTGAGTCTCTGAGAGGTTACCCAGTGTGTAAGTGATTGAGTCAAGAGTTAACTCAAGTCTGTGAACCTCTGGGACCAGCGTTCTCATGCCCTGACCCCACCCTCCCACCCCTTGTAAGTCCTCTCTGTAGTTTGCTCTGTCTGGAACTATGACGACATTTATTATGGAGCCCCGAGAATGCCTGTACCCAAGAACCCATGATTTCTAAGCTGACGGCCATTTTCGATTTGGAGCAGGGAGTAGCTAAGGGAAGAAATGACACTGGGCCTGGGCGGGGGTTACTTCCCAGCATGGAAGCATTTGGATGGAGAAGTGAGACTCGGATTGCTTTTAAGCACATTTCATTTTCTCCCCTCCCTCTCCTTCCAAATTAGGGTGAAGGTTGCCGAACTGTCCCCCTGGCTGGACATGTGGGGTTTGACAGCTTGCCCGACCAGCTGGTGAATAAGTCAGTCAGCCAGGGCTTCTGCTTCAACATCCTGTGCGTGGGTGAGTATTTCCATAGCAGGAAATTCTATTAAAGAATATGGATCCTTAATGACTGGATGTGGCTTTGCAGGTAATTAGGTTAAATAGTGTGTCATTCTGATCTATTTGCAGGTGTACCCCCCCTTCTTTTATCCCTCTGCTTGTTTTTCTAAGCAGCTGGCTGTGATTACATTTTTCCCTGGCCAGTCCAGAATATGAGGCCATACCTTGGGGGAACTGAGCTGTGTGACACCCAGCGGAAATTTTGTAAGGGAGCTGGCTGGCTCAGCTACTGCCGTCAAGCTCATTTTGGCTGCAGAAAATAGGAGCCAGGACAGAATTTGGAGGGAGGTGATGGCTGCGGAAAGATGCCTGCCCACCAGCTGTGGGCAGTGGATTGGGTCTGTCTGTTTCCTCTGCAGCCCTGCTGTGCTTGGTACAGTTTGAACTCAAGCGCAGGGCCCACACAGCTGTGTGCAAAGTTCTTTTATTCCTCTTAAGTATATCTCTGCCTGGACCTTTAGTCTCATCTAAGCCACATTTTAGTCACCTCTAATATGCTAATCACAGCAGAGTTCAATAATGTTTGTGAATGAATGAATGAGTTAGCCCCACAGGAACCACTCTTTATACTTCTTAAACACTTCCCTGTATTAGCAGTTTGGATCCTTACCAGGACTCTGTGAAGTGAGCAGAGCGAATAGCATCCGTAGCCTCATGGAACAGATGGAGACCCAGAGACGTGGGAGGATAAGGAACTTACCTGAGGCAACACGGAATACAAGGCAGAGCCACGACGGGGACCCGGGTCTGGCTGACCCGTTGTCCCTCCCACTACTTCTCTAACTGCTGCCAGCAACATCTCTTGAGAACACAAAAGCACTCTGGAAACTGTCACGCACCAAGCGAATATGAGGAAAGACAGTTCCTTGACGTTCTTTAAGAATCTCTCCTTAGACCCTAAGGAAAAATCCCGAATTTGCAAACGTGATCATAGTATCTAATTTTCACTCTGCAGTAAGGCATACCTGCGTATTTTCAGTGATCCACGTCCAAAATTTAATGATTGTATAAATACTGTTATTATGACTTTATTAAGTCAGTTTTCACGCTGGCTAGAACACTCAAGCACTTGCTAATCGCCTTTTCTTATTTTTATATAGAGTGTGTGGGGAATCATTCATGTTGAGGATCTGAACAACCGAATTGGATATTTTTCTCTTTAATGTGGCCTAAAGTTTTGTTTTCTAAGTAAGGTCATTCATTTTCTTGGATTCTTTACTTTTTCTTCTCCTCCATCCCCAGCACTCTTTTTTTTTTTTCTGAAGAGGATTAGCCCTGAGCTAATATCTATTGCCAGTCTTCCTCTTTTTTTTTTTTGGCTTGAGGAAGATTAGCCCTGAGCTAACATCTGTGCCAATCTTCCTCCTCTCTATATGTGAGTGGCTGCCACAGCATGGCTGACAAGTGGTGTAGCTCTGTGCTCAGGATCCAAACCTGTGAACCTGGGCCACCAAAGTGGAGTGCACCAAACTTAACCACTATGCCACGGGGCTGGCCCCCCCCCAACACTCTTTTCTAGATCACTTTCTGTAGGAGAAAAACTGCACACTCAAGTACGAGTAGAAAATAACAAAGCCACTTCTAAATATGGACTACAGGCAGTCAACTAGGCTCACTCACTAGCTAAATGACTCGCTCTCGCACACCAACTTTGGAACCTACGAAATGAAAATATATGCTTCACAGAATTATACATCATAGGCCTTAGAGTCCAGATCTAGGCTG